GGCGCAAAAGGACAAATGCTATGATTTCACTTATCTGAGGGACCTTAAGTAATCAAAATTCATAGAGACAGAAAGAATGGTGGCTGCCACAGGCTGTGGGAGGAGGAATTGGGGATACAGAGTTGCAGTTCTGCAAGATGAAAACAGTTCTGGAGTTTGGCTGCACAACAATGTGAATGTACTCGATGAAATGCACAGGTAACAACTGTTAAGATGGTAACTTTTATAGTATCTACATTTTACCACCCTGGAAGCTCCCCATAAGCTTTGTCCCAGTCACAGGTTCCCTCCTCCCCACTCTCCTGACGCTCCTCAAGTCTCTTCATAATTTCATCCCCAAAGCTTGTATACCTAGTATCATAGTGCACTCTATTTCACTCTTTAAAAACTTTGGGGTGTGTGTTTTTACATCTCCTTTAATCTACAAGTACCTTCTCCATTCCTCTATATTCCTCCCCATACTCACAGGGCTGGTCGCCATGTTTTTCCATCCTTGGTATTTTCAATCAACAGCTGGACCCACAGGCTCCTTCAGACACAGATTCTGTCCCTCTGGTAAGACTAGAGGTGGGTGCTTTGCTTTTCAGCAGGCACATAACGTTGTGATGTCAATGGTTGTTGATGCTCACTGCTTGAATCTATTCATTCACTGGGTTTACAAAATGATGGCATTCCAATTCTATCACGTCTTTTCCATTCATTAACTGAACTAATCTAATGAAGACACACTTTCCCTCATCTATTATTAGGTTATCCAGCATCGCTCAAAAGTAAAAGGAAACTCAAATGCTTAACTGTTTTCTCACATGTATCAGGGTTTAAGGTAATAAATTGGTCTCCTATCATCACATAGTGGTGACCCATTGTTTGATGGATTTCAATCAATTGAGATTATTATTCTTTTGAAGGTCAAATTGTCCCCTCACTGGACAGTAGGAGCTTCTAGCTGGCTGTCCTTGACAGCTTCCTCTTTAGAACTGGAAGATGTACCCAGATCATCATCTCTTATCCCAGACTTGGAATTAGCTAGCCCTCCAGAAGTCCAGGGATCTTTTAGTGAAAAATGATATTTCAAGTCCACAGTCTGGAATTCATACCTAATATTTCCAATTCAGGTTCAAGATACCTTTTAAAAAAAATTTACTTAGCCTATTGTGTATTGCATTCATATCTTCCTTCTTCTATACCAAAAACCCATGTCTCGAGTACCACAAGTAGACTAGGATCACAGTATCCCATAATTACTAATTTACTTTATCCTATGTTATATATACAGCAGTCTATTCTCAGAATAACAATACTAATGCTACCACCACCTACATACAAGCTGTGAATACTTATGAAATTTTTTGCATATGTTCTCTCCATTCTCTCCCCATACTTTAAAAGAGTTTAAACACTATAAGAACAGCAGTCTGTGTACTGTCAGGGCATAGCCACTATAAGCTCCTCCTTCTGTGTTTGAATCCGCACTTAATCTCAGTTCTATGAGTAACAGGCATGCTCACTGTTCTCCGCCAGTCCCTCTCATGATGCTTCTAGTTGTTCTCATTCTCTGAGCTTGTCCAGCAGATTCCTCAGGAAGAGCCCGGGGGCAATATCCTCTGAGGACCTGCTGGTTCATAAGAAGGTATCTGTGTCCTTGACACTCTACAGTCAGTTTTGCTGGATATAAAATTTTTCAACTTACTTTTTCCTTCTTTCCTTGACTTACTCAATTATCCTATTCCATTTTTCTCTGGCATTAAAAAAAAAATGCTTCTTTCTAAAAGACTGGTGGTGATCTAATCTTTCCCTAATAAGTTATTTGCCATTTTTTCCAAGATGTGCAAAGGATTTTTCCTTTCCCTTTAAAAATCCAGTAGTTTGGGCTGGGGCTGTAGCTCAGTGGCTGAGTGCTTGTCTGGCATGTATGAGGCACTAGGTTTGATCCTTAGCACCACATAAAAAGAAATAAATAAAATAAAGACATGCTATCCATGTACAACTACAGAAAAAAGTTGTGTTTTTTTTTTTTTAAATCCAGTAGTTTATCAAGAACGTCTGTAGTCATGGTCATTCAGGGTTCATAGTTTCACACTGAGTTCTTTCAATATGTAGCCCTGAATTTTATTTTTCATAAACTTTTCATAAATATAAGTATTGTTCAGTTCCCTTGCCTTTTTATTCCCTTTCGAGGATTCCACTATCCATATGTTGGAGATTTTTGACTAACACACTGTCACTTTGCGTCCAAGTCTTAAGATCTCTTTCATTTATTTTTATATGAAAGTTCTCTCTCTTACAGCATCTTCTGCTATGTTTATCTATTCCTGTGTTCCTTCCAGCTCAATTTTTTGTTTCCAAATGAATTTTTCTTTTATTTTCTCTTTTTTTCCCTAAGTTCCATTACTTCATTTCTAAGATTCTTCTATTTTCAAAGTATGTTGATCACTTTTTTTTTTTTTGGTACTGGGGATAGAACTCAGGGACACTGGAGCACTGAGCCGCATCCCCAGCCCTATTTTATGTTTTACTTAGAGACAGGGTCTCATGAGTTGCTTAGCACCTTGCTTTTGCTGAGGCTAGCTTTGAACTCAAGATCCTCCTGCCTTAGCCTACTGAGCTGCTGGCATTATAAGCCTTCGCCACCGTGCCCAGCTCTTAGGTCATTTTGAAATAGTCAGCTTTAGGTTTTATTTGTTTTATGGTGCACATCTCTGCCAAACTTTCATTGCCTGCAGGTATTCTCTTTCTTTCTCATGATAATTTTTAGTGAGATTTGACAACAATAAATTTCTTTTGATTATTTTTATGTAAAATAAGTTTTTTGAACCTTTGGAGAGAAACATGTTCAGGGTACCTTTTCTAACTTCTCATAGTTCTTTTAGGTTAGTGTCATGTGGTATTCAAAAATGTGGCAGTTACTTTTTGAGGTTTCTTAGACACAAATGCACTTTTATTTTTGTAACTTCAACTCTTTTTTTAAAGAGTCTACTAGAAAATATAAACTTGCATCTGAGACATGGACTACATGTCTCTTGAGCAGTGTGTCAGCTCCAGTTTCAAATCCCAGCCATGCCACTTTCTGTCTGTGTGAGGTGACGCTCTTTTCTAAGCACTGATTTGCTTATCTGTTATCTAAGAATAATAATTATGCCTAATTCATAAGGAGAAGGGAATTAAATAAGACATGTAAAACATTAAGCATAAGATCTAGACATAGGACGTATCTAAAAATGGAAGTTGTTCTTATTACCTCCTAGTATTGGGTGTATACGAGTTTCAGAGCTGGATCTGTTGGCACCTGGCTATATGATCCATGTAAGAAAATCAACCATATGGTCCTCAGTTTCTCTTTCAGATAATCAGGAACTGAGGATATGCCCCAATAGGCTGTTGTGAGAATTAACACAAACTGAGCACCTACTATGAGCTAAGTACATTTTGGGCACTGGGAAAAATCAATGAACAAGTCAGTTCTTGACCTTAGGGAGCTTATATTCCAGTGGAGAAGACATGCAATAAAAAAAAAAATAGTGTTCTATAATGTAATGTTAGGTTCCAACATTAATGTGTAATAGGAATGCTGAAGAAAAACAGAGCTGGCCGCAAAGTGGAGAGTGGTGGAGGACACTGCCTACACCAGGGAAAGGGAGGACTGACCATTTGAATGGAGACTGAGCAGGCTGCTGGACTGAAGGAAGAGCCAGGCAGAGGCTCTGGGGAGGCTAGAGAGAAGGCAGTCAGTATGCAGGAGGCGACCATGGCCAGACCCCCAGGCAGGGGCCTCAGGAGGTACCCTCACTGAAGTGGGAAGGAGGAGCCACTGTAGAAATTGAAGCAGGTTTTCAATGAATCCGTAGACACACTAGAGAGCATGTGTGCACAAGGCCCAGCACAGCCTTCCATGGATCTAAAGAGAAATACAGCCCTTGGAAAGAGCTCAGAATCAGGCTTGAGGCCATCCCAAAGCCAATATCCCCCCTCTATCCACAAAGTCAAAGGAGGAAACCAAGTCACAGCAAAACATGGAGCCACCTCTGCTCCACCCAAGGGGAAGTCTCTCTGTCAGATCAGCAGTAGCTGGAGAAAAAACAATTTTTTGAATTTATGATTTTTATTTTATTTTTAAATTTTATTGGTATATTATATTATTCATAATAGTGAATTCATTATGCCATATTTGCATATGCACACAGCTTAACCAATCTCATTGCCCAGCCCACCCCTTTCCCTCCACTCCTTCTTCCCTTTATCCACTTGCTCTAATCTACTGATCTTCCTCCTATTATTATTATTATTAATTAGCCCATTAGAATTACATATATGTGGGGGGTTATTTGTGGTATATCTGTACCTGGACACAGCATAATCTGGTACATTTCATTCCTGGTACTTTCTCATGGCCCCCTCCTCCTTTTCTCTTGATTTTCTCCCTCTACTCTATTGATCTTCCTTTTATTTTTGTGAAATCCCCCTTCTTAAATTTATAATTTTTAAAAATTACACAAATAATGTTGTCTATCATTGTAGAAAATGACTATTATAAAAATATAGCATGTGCAAATAGATAAAAAAAGAAAAATTAAATTCCAAATATTGGAATGTACAGCCAAATAGTATAGTAAATATGTTTGGCTCTGCAGACCTGATTACTTATGAGTATATATCAAATTTAGAACTTATCCCATTATGGGTGTGTGTACACACATACTACATGTGTATGCTTGTGTGTGCGTGTGCACGTGTGCTGAGAATGCTGTCTAGAAGCAGCCCATTCTCCAGGACTGTGCTGGACCTGCGTCCTTTGCCTCCTCGTTGTGTATACCGTGTGCGCCTTCCACGATGATAACAGCCAGACCCACAGCCTCCTTTCCAACGGGTATTTCATAAAGGACACAGCGTCCTTTATCCAACACTCCCCTCCTGGTAGATGTATAGGGTGCCCCAACCTGGGAAGGAAGCCCAGAGCCATGATGCCCTCTAGCACCCTATCACTGTGTCACTGTGTCACTTACGGCAAACTCCTCAGGAGTCACTTTCAAGACATCGAAGACAACCGCGTCATAGCTCTTGCTGGCATAGTCGCAGCTCTGGCCCTCCAGAGAGTCTGAGCTGCTGCTGCCCTGTGAAGAAAGTGGAGAGCGCACAGGCTGAGGGTCTGCCCTGGAATCACTGCCCCAACTGCCCCACACGGAGGTCAGAGGAGGACAGATCACACAATGAAAAGGCTTCTGTGGCCAGCACGTCACTCTTGTCCAGGCACTGTGATAAGCACTTCACACACAGGATCTTATTTAATTCTCATGAGCCCCCATGCATACACACCATTATTATTCCCATTTTATAGATATGGAAGCAGAGGCAGAGTTACTTCTCCAGGGTACCTCAGCTGTGAAACTGGAAGTCAGAATGTGAACCTAGTTTTCCATGACACCAAAACACGTGCTTTCAATGGCCACCCTCAACTGCTCTGTCCAGTGTTAAAAAAAAAAAGTAAATAAGTAAAAAGCTACGGCACAGGGCTTGGGGCGGGCTCAGAGACAGAGGGCTTGCCTAGCAGGTCAGATCCTGGGTTCCTGAGTGTAGAATGGCTAACAGAGCTTCATCTCTATCCCAGCCATCTCACTTTCTGTCTGTGTGAGATGACATTCTTCTCTAAGCACTGATTTGCTTATCTGTTATCTAAGAATAATAATTATGCCTAATTTGTAAGGAGAAGGGAATTAAATAAGACATGTAAAACATTTAGCAAAAGACCTAGACACAGGAGGTTTCCAAAAATGGAAGCTGTTCTTATTACTCCCAATATTGGGTGTATACGAGTTTCAGAGCTGGACCTGTCGGCACCTGGCTATATGATCCATGTAAGAAAATCAACCACATCAAAATCAACCTACAGAGCTTCATCTCTATGAGTCATTCTGCACTCAGTACCCACCTTCCAGGAAGGTACTGAGTACCCACCTCCATCAGGCTTGACAGGGCTGATTTCCTCTGGGACAGTACAGTGTCATGGTTAGGGGGACAAACTCAAGAGACACAATAGGCTGGCTTAGACCCCACCCAGCTGGCCAGCTATGAGATCCAAAGCCAGCATGTTCACCTCTCTGTGCCTTTAGTTCCTCATCTATAAACTGGAATATCAATACATACCTGTGGGGGTCACTGTGAGGGTTAAGTGAGAGAAACCTTGTGTACCACATTTTAAAAACTGCCTGAAATAGAGTAAAAGCTAAATTATGGGTGTGTATGGGTATAACTGTGCCATCCCGTCACCAAGATTTATGGAGCACTTCAATTATACATGCTAATTCATTCATTCATTCATTCAAGGAACATTACCAAATACTTACCAAGTGCTGGTACACACCTACACACATGCAGCCTTCCCTCTGTATCCATGGGGGATTGGTTCAGGACCTCTCAAGGATGCCCAAATCTGCAGTTGCTCAAGTCCCTTATATAAATGGCTTAGTATTTGCCAATAACATATGTATATGCTCTTGTATACTCTGAATCATTTCTAGATACAATACCTAATACAATGTAAATAGTTGTTACACTGTATTGTTAGGGAATAATGACAAGAAAAAAGTTATGTTCAGACTAATTTTTTTAGAACATTTTCAATCTATAGTTGGTGGATCTCATGGATATAGGGGGCCAACAAAATATAGTACATATACATATCATGTATATGCCCACAAGTATACACACAGATCAGAGAAGTTTTACTCTATTATTACAGTTGGAAACAGAAGTCTAATTCCTCCAGTTATCAGAGTCCTTTCCTGGGATTTCAGGTTTTATAACCTTCCTATAATAATACTCCACCGTACCTGCTCCAAACATACACACGCATTCACGGGGACTTGTTTAATCAAAAGTTGCCCCAAACATTTTCCTTGGTGATGATGATGATGGTGAAGCTATAGCAACTTAATTTAAACTATACGGGCCCTTGTGAGGAATCTGAAGCTTGATTTCAAGATTAGAAATCAAAATAAGGAATTTTTTGAAAGATTTATAAGAAATGAACTGGTTCCCATGACTTTCTGGCTGGTCACCAGGATGACTTCAAAAGCCCCACTTGTGGTGAGCTCAGGACCCCAACACTGCCTTACCAGTGTATCAGAGGGGCCAGGCATTATGCAGTCAGCAAAGAAGGCCTCAGGTGACGCCCACTTCTCCTGCAAGTCTGTTCCATTACTGAGCATGGAAAGCAAACTCCCATACCCCATGCAGGGGCCTGGCCCAGGCCACTCTCAGACCACCAACCCTTACAGCCATTTCCTACAGAGCATGGCAAACAAGAACACGGGCCAGTTGGAATTATTTCTGTCTGACTTCATTCCGGAATGTGCGACTTATTTATAATCAGCAGCGGCTTTTCCTGGGAAAGGTCTGATCCCTTTTTGCCACCAAAATGGAATGTGGCACTTGCTACAGCTGGACTGGGCAGGTATTTGTTTTCCTTTGAAGAGAACGACTTCAGAAACACACTGATCCTCAGAGCTGACTGCCTCCCAGATCTCACGCCTGGCATGGCCAGGGGCCTTGCCAGTGCTAAGAATGGTAGCATTCATGGGGGTCTGTGGCCTTGCTGCCCTAGCTCAGCTGGGGCCTGGGTCAGCTGGAAGGCCCCTCCCACCCACTGTCCCAAATCGTTGCAGCTTCTATACCTGTGGAGTGGCGGAGGTGACCAACACGCTAGCCATCAGACCATTCCTCTTGTACATAGTCTCCAGGCCGCAGGGAGCTTCAGGGCAGCCTCTGCCGGTGACATAACCTGCCTGGAGGAGTCCTGCAAGGCAGAGGAGCTCATAAAAATCAGGTTTTGAAACCAACTGAACCTTCCCCAGGGGAGAGTATGCCAGACTTCAGCAGAACCCCTAGGAGGATACCTTAAAAGAAAGGTCAACTGGTGGCCTTGGCACCAAATATGGCCCACAAATGTCGTCTGTTGGGCTGGCTTGTGCAGTGTTTTATTAGTCTTTAAATTAATTACCAACATCTAAAAACTGGAAGATTTCACATAGAATTCTGGATCTCTGACTTTCCTGACAGCACTGGGCCCACATCGCTCCACAGTGACCATCAGCTGAGCTGAGCAGAGGCTGCCCCATGCATCAGAGCTTTTGGTCCCCACCTGGCCTGTGCAATCATTTCAGTGTATATGTGACCCTTGCAGGTAGATGGAGTTTGTGGACTTTGTCTTAAGACAAAGGTGGAGTGCAGACAAACTGATCCTACTGTGCACCCCAGGCACCACATCACTTCCTCAATAACTCCCTGGGTGACAGCGGGATTCATCATGCGCCAAGCACTTGACATCCACCATCTCATCCCTCCCCCGATCCTGAGGCAGCTCCACTCGTCATACTCATGTTCTTTGCTCATGCCATTCCATCATGTCATCACTCATGACCTGCTCCTAGGTCACCTCTGATTATCATGCAGAGACCACCCAACAGAATGGGCTGCTCCTACACCATGTTTGCACACCTTCGGAAGCATCCACCACATCCCAGAGCAGAGTAGCTGCCAACACTTTTCTTAGCAGGAAAGTGGCCATGAATGTAGGGTGGATAGGTAGGGGAACACCAGTCAAAAGCCACCTGCAACTACTCAGGTTAGAGATGAGGGGAGTCCTCTGAGCTAAGGTGGGAGCAATGAAGACAGGAGAGAAAAACGGAGGACAGAGATTCCACAGAAACTGAGGTGAGGGAGAGCTGGACACCAAATGGATGGCTTCTGGCTTGAGATCCAGAAGGATGCTGTGTCCCTCGTCATGGAAGAACAGAGGTGGCATGATGGACTTGGGGGAAGGAGATGAACTTGACCTGGGACATGTAGCATGAAAAACTTAGTCCTAGAAGGCAAGACCTAACCCAAAGGACACCAGGAAAGATGAAAAGTGCCAGTCCACCCTTGACTCAACTGTGCCCCCGTGGCTCTGTCATGGGCCCCATCACAGAGCAGAAATCTGTCACAGAGTCCAGTGAACAGAAGGGACATCAGATGACTAGGCTCCTCTTTGCACGTCCTCAACATGCCAGTGACATATCTCTCATCCTGCTAGCTAGCTGCTCAGCTCCATCCTGTGAGCCCTCTACCTTCTCTGACTCCCCAGAACAGAACTTCCCTGTGAGCCCTCTACCTTCTCTGACTTCCCCAGTCTGCCCTATAAACACCACTGAATGGGGTCCTGGATGACATCACTGAGTACCCCAATGTCCTAGGCAGGAGAAGGTGTGCACTGACTAAGTGGGAAGAGGTCCTGATCTGCAGACATTGCCCAGGCAGAATTTAGAGGCAAAGTGAGTTTGTGACTTGCTTTCAAATGGGCAAAACTCACATGAGCAGAGATGAAGCAAAAAAAGGTAGCGTGTTCACAGATGCAGGATCCAGAGCAGAGGGCACACGGGAGTCCACTGTCCTGGTCTCTCAATCTTTCCTAGTGCCTGATAATTTTCATTTAAAAAAAGGAAAAACAGGGACTGGGGTTGAGGCTCAGTGGTAGAGCACTTGCCTAGCATGTGTGAGGCACGGGATTCAATTTCCAGCACCACATATAATAAACAAACAAAGGTCCATCAGCAAATAAAGACAGATTAAAAAGTAGGCAGAATTTTTAAAAAAGGAAATACAGACAAAAAGAACCAGTCAGGTAAAGAGGAAATACTGAGCCAGAGAGACCAAATTCCGCTTTCGTGACAAAGGAAAGAAGATGAGCTGAGAAGGCTCATTTCTTAATCATTTTTGTCCCAGGAAAAGCGTGTTCCCTGTCATCAAGGACCACGAATCCCACAGCTGGTATAGGCTTAGAAAGCGGTGCATAAAATATTCAAGTTGACATTTCTCAAAAGAAAATATGTCACCAGCATACAAGGGAAATGCTGTCAGGGAAGTGCAAATCAGAACACTAACACCCCACCTCATAACCTAGGGTAGCTAGAATTCAGAGGAGGAAAACGAATGGCCCATAGCAACTGCTCCATGGTGTGGAGCAGTGGAACCCCTGTGCATAGCTGGTGGGACAGCAAAATGGTATAACCACTTGGGAAAATTAGCAGCTCCTTAAAGTTAAACCAAAACTTACCACACAACCCAACCATTGTATTCCTAAGGATCTATCTAAAAAAAGATGAAGACATATCCACACAAAGGCACGTATGTGAATGTTTATAGGAGCATTCAAAAGCTGGAAGCAATTCAGATATCCATCAGCTGGCAAATGCATAAGCATGGTAAGACATCCACCCGATGTAGTACTACTAGCTATAAAAAGAAATGAAATACTAATACAAGCTATAACACGATTAAACCTCAGAAGCACTACACTAAGTAAAAGAAGTCAGATGCAAAAGAATGCATTGTATGATTCCATCTTAGGAAATGTCTAAAAAAGGCAAGTTTATAGAGCCAACATGCCATCAGTGGGGCTGAGGTGGGGGTGCTACACAGGGACACAAGAGCCTTTTTGGAGGTGATGGAAATGTTCTAAAACCAGATGGTGGTGACAGGTACACAGCTCCAGAAATGCGGTTCTATGACATATAAATAGCAGCACAATAAAGAATCATGCTGAACTGTTTCATAATGGTGATTCCAACCTGCACACGTAACATTTCTTGAAATGAGCAAATAAATACTAAAGCACTAAAAATATGTTGTATTAGTACATGATAACAAAAAGGGAAATATTAAACTTTGAGGAATTTCCTTGCCAAGGAGATGGAACTGAGAGGAGCAGCCCCAGAGCCAGGGAAAGGCCTCCTGGACCTGGGTGGATAAGACAGTCCACTAGAAACCCTTGAGAAAGTCAGGCATCAGAATGCAAAATCCAAAAACCATGATGAAAAGAAATGTCAGCTCAGGGGTGCCAGGCTGGACCAGGCCCTTGGGCTATCTCAACAAGACTAACCGACTGGAACAGGTGGACATCTGGCTGGGGGTCTGGCAACAACCCCAGCAGGCCATTCAAGGTCAAAACAGACAAGCCTGCTGGGATGGAACCTGCCCAGCTTGGTTCAGACAGGATCACAGTAAGTCACCATGGGAGGCCGAGTGGGGGATGGCCAACTGGCCCATTCTCTGAGTGGATTCCCCCCTGCTCATTTCAAGGCTGAGGTGGGCTTTGCTCTTGTCGGATGTGCCTGGCATTCTGTGGGTCTCCCCAAGAGGATCTCCGACTGCTCAGCCTGGTCAAATCAAAGGCCTTCTCTCCCTACTTGTCCTGTGTCACACAGTCTTCCACTCAGATGCCACGGCTATTCAGGCCTTCTGCCTGCACTGGCCATAGGCTCCCTGCGTCCCATCTGAAGGATGCCAACAGCCCCAGCCACTTCTCCAGTTAGGGGCCAGCATAGCACTAAGAGAGCATGGTGTGGGAGAGGCAGTGGCTGGATATTACATTTTTAGCTTATTTAATCTTCACAACAGTCCCAGACTTCTTGAATCCCAATGAGAAACAGGCACAGAGAAGAAGCGTGACCTACTGCTAGTTAGGGACAGGACCAGGGAGTTCAAACCCTCATCAGTGAACACCGGGGCCTGGGCTCTGACCATCCCTCACACCGCCTTCTGCAGAGCCCAGGTGGGGACTAGCCATGGCAGCACAAGGAAGGCTTTGCCAGGCCAGCGAGGGACAAGCACTCGTTTAGGCTGCTAGTTACTGTCCACATTAGCCTTACCCTAAAAGCTTCTCTTCACTTATTCCTTTCTCTTTTCCTAAAACAAAAAAATATGCTATAAATGTTCAAGAAGGAACAACAGCACTTCTAGCTCTCATTGCTAGAAGGCGGGTTCCCAATAGAGGGCTCTGGGCTCCAAGTTCAGAAAGCCAAGCCCTAGAGTTGGAGTTCAGGGCTCCCCCACCCTGTGGCCCCCATCCACCTCGAGATGAAGTGTGGCAGCAGCAGTGTGTGACCCGTTATGCTTTCTATGGAAGGCCTGAGCTGGAAAGACAGAGCGCTTGTTTCCGATCTGACTCCTGCATGTCTCGCCACTGACAAAAACAGCCAAATTTATGGGCAGTAACTCTCAGACAAGCGATATTTCACATGCTAAGAAATAACAGGACCAAGCAGAGCAGAGCATCCCTGCCAGGTCCAGAGAACCCCCCACCATCCAACTTCCATCCTGGAGCCTGCTAAGCCACGACTCCTATATCAGGGAGTAGACTCCCATCGGGGCTCAGCCTGGCCAGAAACCACCCTGAGAACTGCTCCTCCACCCCAGGAGAGGGCCCTGAAGACTGTGCCACCCAGGCCAGACCAACTGTACCCAGGTGTCCACCTACTCTCCCAGGAACTCAGGACCCCGAGACACCAGTCTCTGCTCATCAACCAGGTGGGGGCACTGTGCCCTCAGGAGCAGAGGGTGGCCCTGTGAAGGGACAGTCTGGTCAGTGGCGTGTATGCAGGGAAGAAGCAGATGCACAAAGAAGTGGGGGAGAGAATGGCCAGGACTCTGTCATAAAGCTGCTTTCACGGCCACATGGTCAAAGTAGTTTCCAAAAGACCTTGTTGAAGGCTAGTTCCTAAACATCAATCCACCAGAAACCTAACACTGAAAATGCAAATGGGAAAGAGACACACCATTCATTCACTGAGCTTTTTTTTTTTTTTTAAGACAAGATCCCGCTTTTTGGCCTGGGGTTGGCCTTGAACTTGTGATTCCACTACCTTAGCCTCCCAAGTAGCTGAGATTACAGGCATGCACCACCACACTCAACAGCTTGTAACTGTTTTGTGCCATGGATCCTTTGGGGCCTCTTGTCACAAAAATGATTTTTAATAC